GACTTAAAAGTTTGGACAAAAAATGCAAGATGAACTAAGATTTGATAGTTTATACCAATTTTCCTTAAATAATTGAATTGACATACGGAAAGGGTAAAGCCATTCGTAAAGAAGAAAATGGCCACACCCTGGCTTACAGATACGTATGTAGCGGAAGATGAGCGATTGGATGAAAAGTATTTTTTCTGTAGAAGATGGCGTTAGGTGTGAGATGGTGCCAAATATAAATTCTGTAAGCTATGACGTAAATGAGAATGTATATGTAACATGATTGATACAGAAAATCTTGATTCAAACGTTGAAGAAGTAAGCATATATTCAACGCTTGCACTATATAAATTTGCAGACATATGAATACATGCCTTTAGTCTTGAAAGAGCAATAAATTCAAACGGTACGATTAGTTACATATAGACATCAACGCACGAGACTATATTGATGGTCAATTAATATTTTGGGTCTTAGACTTTAAGGTAGTGGGATAAATATCACCGTACCTCTTGAAGGCATGATATCCCTTGAGGTGATTTGGTAAGCGTGATCATTATGGGAATGGTAATTTTGATTAAAACATTTATTTAGAGTTAGATTTTAAGTAAAATTATGTCTCAGGCGATCACATGCTTCGAATTAGTAATTCAAGAAGGTTGAAATACCAAGATGTAAGAGATCCCTGGCATGGATTACACATATTCGTTCGTTGAAAGAGGGCAACATGATGATTAATAGGTCAAGGACGCCATAAGATTATATTATTTTAGAGTACGATCATATTTCTCAAGTGTATAAAATGAAATGTTTTCGAAAAATGATAAGTGTGTAAAGTTTAATCCCTTGTTTGAGCCTCATTTTTTCATCAAAATGTATTATTCAACAGTTATTTGATCTCATTTCAACTACACATTCTTCAAAAATATAATATTACACGCAAATCGAAAACTTTTTCTTATTTTTTAATCACGTATTCTCTATCATAACACTACTGTAAAATGCATTTTTTGAAAAAAAGAATATTGGGCTCAAACAACTCATAAATATACATTTTTCCCTTATTTTCACATTATCTAATCTTATAGTCATTGGATGTCATGTCAATGTGAGAGCAATTAATGAAAACTTAAGAACTACCACATTTTTATTTTTTTTTCAATTGGAGTTTTATTGGTAGACCCTCACTTGTAAAAGTGATTGTTGGAAGGTCCGTGTCCAAGTATTTACCAAGTGGTCTCACAATTGCTTGCACATAAGAAGGTATGCACAAATTTAATGGAAGAAGAGGCTATCTAATCCAAACCGAAGTGACTGGTAATTCCTCTTTTGCGTTAAAAATCTCTTGACCATTTAAATAGTCGAAACAGAGAACCTTCAATGGAGTGTGAGTCACGCGTCCATGTTTTTGAAAAATCATCTGCATTTTGAAGCTTAATCAGAACATGGCGCCTATCAATGAAATTGACAATTGGAGCAGCCGACAACCCCCATTTGGTGCTGATATGATGTCGAATAACATCCATTCAAGGGCGAGAATTTGAGAATTTGGCAATAAGAGCAAATTGAAGCGATTCTTCAGATTGCTGTAATTCAAGTGGGGAAAATATCACAGCATGTTTCCCTTCCTTCCATTGTGGCTGTCTTAATGAAAACAACAACATCCATCACAGGAATAAAGGAGAGGTCATGGTGTATAAGAGAAGAAGATACAGCAACTGCATATGATATTGGAATATTAAGTTAATGATATGCTCACTGATGCTTTCGTTGATCCATATGTATTTGTACTGTAATTATTAGTAATTTGCAGTTTATCACAATGAGGTTTTTCCACTCAATATGTAGGGGAAAAAAATAAAAAATAAAATGATAATGAGCTCGAAAGAATAAGATATTTATTTTGAAATAAATAGATAACATGAAAGTAAATTTTGATTCATGGCATGAGAAGGATTTTTGATATCACACATAAAAACAAAGTCCAAAGTAAAAATTGTGTCAAAATTGTATACACTTATGGCCTTTTTGTCTAAACCATGCCAGATCACCTGGGGTAAAAACAACCACACGCCTGTGACTCCCACAAATGCCACCGTCATCGGCCCCGAAACCAACCTGTGCAACTGCCAACGGCCCCTCAATGCCTTTTTCACGGCCGTCTCGAGGGC